TATATATATATATTTTTACATATATTAACTAAATCTTTGCACCAACTCTGTAAGGAAGCTCTCCCTATTGTTATTTGTACATGATAAAACTAAAGTATAGAGACCTGAATACAGCCAAGAAATTATGACTCAGATTGTAAGGGCTTACTATTAAGCATAGATAACATCCTAATGCTATTTCCTTCTATCATCTCATTTTGAGCGCTTTTCTTTGGTTGATCTCCAGGTAATTAGGAGGTTACCATACTTCTGTTTATCCAACCTCAGATTTCATTAGGTCTTCTGGTATTTACTATCATATCATTAATTAACTTCATCTTACTTATAAAACTCCTTTGCATATTGCACACACTTAGCATTCCCTCCCCACTCTTTATGAGAGTTTCATTTTGGGGAGTCCAAAAGCAGAATTTTCCATCCCTGCCTATTACATACAGTCCATTGTCCAAACCTATGAACTTTTATGGGATTTCTGTCTTTGTTTTACCCAAGCCTGTGATTTCAAAACATTCTCTTTCTAGGGCTGGGGATGTAGCTCAGTAGCACTGTGCCTGGCCCTCAAACGCAAGGTCCTGAGTTCGATCCCTGGTACCAAAACAAAATTTTTTTCCCTGCAGCTACACACCATTCTCAGGGTGACAAACCCACTTTCCATGTTTACATCCAAGTTACAAGTGAGGACTCAGTCTTAGGGTGTCATCTCACTAGGTTCCTTTTATCAGCTCATTGGTTACTTAATGACAGGCTTGTCATCCTAGTCTTACTTCCACATGTTAGCTGCAAGGATTTCAAGGAAACTTGTCAGGTACCTTGGTTAAGTCCAAAACCATGATTTTAGTAACACAATCTAAAAGAAGGCAGTTTCTAGAAGCCTGTGACTTCCCCTGTTGGGACACCCAAACCATCCCTTTATACATCCACTCCAGTGTAAAGTACATCAGTTCACATTTATGGATTTCTTTTTTTTTTTTTTTTTTTTTAAGAGTAGGAAAAACTTATTGAGAGAAAGAAAGCTTCTGCCTAAGAGATACAGAAGGAGGACTGGAGGGCGGGGGATTTGGCTCAGTGGTTTCGATGCCTGCTGTGCAAGCACAAGGACCCTAGTTCGATCCCCGGTACGAAAAAAAAAAAAGAAAAAGAAGGAGGACTGGAAAGTGGGTTGCCCCCACATTTATGGATTTCAACATGCTTTCCTCTTATAAGAGCATCAGACTGACATTTTTAGCAGTGCTCGTTAGGATATAAATATCTGAGCATGTAAACGTTTCTTCTAGCTTCCTTCTCAGTTATTTTCTTACATAAATTATTCTGTATATTATTTGGCTTTTCATTTCATTTCTGTTCTCCTTAGTAACTATTTCTATAACTTTAGGAGATTTTCTTTGCTCTTTATAGTTGGCCTAAAGTCCTCTTTGTATGTTACTCTTTGAGCAAATATGTTCTTAGATTTAATGGCCTCTATTGACCCTTTACCTAAAACTATTCCTCTGTAATCTTATGCCATAGCTCATGGCTCAAAATCCAGATTCCAGGCCTGGGAATTTAGCTCAATGGTTCTGCCGCCTGCCTTGCAAGCACAAAGACCCGAGTTCGATCCCTGGTACCAAAAAAAAAAAATCCAGATTCCATCTTTCAAGTGATACAGTTTAAAAAAAAAAAAAGGTAACAAAAATAGGAACTATTTCCCAAAGTATGAATTTTCTTGTCCAAGATTCCAGTATTTCCTAAAAGATGCTTTTTGGAGCTCTTCAGATGGTATTATTTGTTATCCATGATTCAGGCTTGACCAGGGGCCAGCAGTTTCTAGAAGCCTCCAGCATATGCACCAGCAAGTGAGGCCACACACCTGGTGATGGGGGAGGTGTTTAATGACTGACATTTTCCTTCCAGGGCCAGTGATAGGTTCCTTGAATTTTCCTAAAACCAACATCATTCTGTGCAAATGTCTGGCTGCATTAGAACCTCCTGTTAACCTGCACTCCCCAATAACTTCCCCTTACTCTTAGTCTCTTTTTCCTTCCTCTTAATTCTCAGTACACTTGTCTTCCATAAAGCCTATGAGATTCCTCCACTTTTCCCAAAGGCCTAGCTTTACCCTCTGCTTTCTTGCCATGATACCTCACCCTTCCTCCCACATGCACATGGAGAATCTGTGCAATCTGGCCCGAGAGCTTGCTTCCACACATAGGAGCCAATATTCTCATCCCAAGGGAGAAGTGGAGGCATGAATACAGGCATCACCTGACATAATGTGCACCATGCCATGTCATGCCATGGTATCTGTGGTGCCAGAGAGAACAGACTACATGATCTCCACCAGTTACCAGGAGGTGAGAGGCTGAGCCATGCTGTTCTTGAGGTGTCCCTCTCCAGCACCCCCGGGCAGGTGATTTCTGGCTTAGGGAAAAGTTCAGAAGGCTGGGCACTCACCATTTCTCTTTGGTCCCCACAGAACATGTCTGGGATGTGGAAGCCTATGGTATTCTTGGCTATTGCAGCTGTGGCTCTGTATGTGTTACCCAACATGCGACTGCAGGAAACAGAGTCCTGGGCCAGCTGAGAGGGCAGATGCCCGGCAGCTACCACCCTCACTTTTGGGCAGGACACACTGTGCCAGAGCCCCCACCCCACCCATGTATCCCATGTGTCCCCATCTCCTAAGCCTCAGTCACTCAGGCTGGAAAGGCTTATAGGAGCTGCTGACTCTTGCTGGCTTCCATTTTCTGCCTTGTATAAGAACCTGGGTTCCTCGTAATTAAATATCAACCAAATTACCTGAGACTTTGTGGCTTTTTACTTGCTAAATCCTTCGCACACAACAGAACAGAACAGTTCCCCTTCAACCAAATACTTCACATAAGGGCCTGGCTCTTAAACACGATTTTTCACCCTACAGATGACCTCAGAAACGAGGCTGGTTCCCTGTGCTGCCAGCTGAAGTGCAGAGGGGTTGATCTGTCCTTAATAACCCTATCTCAAGGAGCTCCTCAGCATGGAGAAATGGAAGGAACTGGGTACTTTGGGGTCATAGGACCTCCCCTCATGTTCTGTGCCCACATCATCCGTGTGCGATCGAGTCACTGAGAAGATCGGCGTGGGAGCCATGGTGGCTTAGTCCTTGAGACTTCTCAAGGGATTCACTCAGAGATGACTTTAATCAGTCAAGGTCTTGGCAGTAAACAGGACACTCAAAGCCTTAACTGAAGCTCGTTTAATGAAGGGACTTTGCACAGAAGGCACACTTAGGAGAACCAACAATAAATTGTGAAGTACCCAGGCCCTAGCAACAGTGGAAAGCTATTATCACCTCAGACTGGAGCCAGAGGGCAAGGAAGCAAAAACCAGAGCCCTGAACTGGTGGACCCAGGCAGGAGTGCTATGCTACAGCCACAGTGAAGTGGGAAGGCTCTTCAGTCCCCTGCCCTTTCCTCCAAATGCCAGCTTCCTAGTAATTAATACCTCTCTCACTAAACCCAGCTGAGAGCAGAGGTGCTCCTTGAGCTCAGAGCAGGATGACAGTGGATCTAAGGGGACAGCAGAATGGCTAGAACGCTTCATGCATGTCCTGTTTACTTTCACTCCCGTGGAGTCCTTTCTGATTGATTGTTCTCATCATGGGTGTTTACACATGAAAAACCTTGAGTGTATTCTTAACCCACAGTGCATAGAATGGACCCCATTGGGGCTGGGGATTTAGCACAGTGATTCCACCGCCTGCCTTGCAAGCGCAAGGACCCGAGTTCAATCCCCAGTACCAAAAAAAAAAAAAAGGGGGCCCCATTACCATCTTGGGCCCCCTCTTTCTGCCTCACCAGTTGACAGCAAAGGACTTTGTCCAATTCAGCCAAGCATCTGTGAAGAACACGGTATGTTGTGGTGGCTAGGCCCTAAATGAGTCCATTTCTTCCCCAGCCCTTTCCTACGGGAAAGTAGGAAGAACATTTAGATGAACTTTTCAAATTGTACGTAGCCCAGAGAAGAAACAAGGCTGAGCTAAGTAAAGTCCCTCAGGTAACCCTGAGGCCAGTACTGACATTGTGGCCAGCCCCTTATAAACATGGCTGCAAACAGGCAGTGCCACAAGTCCCTTTTGCCTCTCAGTGACTTTTTTTTTTTTTTTGAGACAGGGTCTCACTCTAGTCCAGGCTGACCTCAAACTCACTATGTAGCCCAAGCTAGCCTCCAATTCATGTCAATCCTCCTGCCTTAGCCTCCCAAGTGCTGGGATCACAGGCTTGTGCTACCACATCCAGCTCTGAGTGACTCCTCTTTGAAGATCGTCCTTATTTCAGGTAGTCTAGCCCCCTTGCTACTCCATATGGCCCAAGGATGAGCAGTGTCAACATCTCCTGGAGCTCATTAGAGTCTCTGCTCTCCTGACACAGAATCGGCTTTGTAACACACCCAGGTGATTAGCAAACCCAGTTAAACTTGGAAAGCACTGCCAATTATTTAAAGGCGTATGTTCTTATTGTACCCTAATTAGAGAAATTTCTAGCCAAGCCTGGGGATGGACACCTGTAATCCTAGCACTTGGAAGGCTAAAAAAGGAGGATTGTGGCAAGTTTGAGGCCATCCTGGGCCTGGAATACATAACAAGACACTGCCCCCCCCCAAAAAAAAAAACAAAAGTTAAGCCAGGCGTGGTGGCACACACCTGTAATCCCAGCACTCAGGAGACTGAGGCAGGAGGATCACCACAAGTTCAAGCCCAGCCTGGGGTACAAAGTGAGTTCAGGGCCAGCCTGAACTACAAAAAGAGACCCTGATTCAAAACCAAAAACACCTAGGGCTAGGGATTTAGCTCAGTGCTACTGCACCTGCCTTACAAGCGCCTAGTGCTGAGTTCAATCCCCGGCACCAAAAAAAAACTAAAATAGAAATTCCTTCAAAGTTACCTAGTGCTAGTGGTCACTAGCTTTTCAGGTAGTGATACCCTGCCATTTGTTTGTTTTTTGAGACAGGGTCTCACTATGTAGTTCAGACTGACCTTGAATTCACTATGTAGCCCAGGCTGGTCTCAAACTCATGGCAATCCTCCTGCCTCAGCCTCCCAAGTGTTGACAGGTGTGTGCCACAAAGTGCAGCTGACTGTGCTTTTTAACTACTTTACACTGCCACCAGTTGCCTGGAAAACATGTGATGGGAATGACTGGAAGATTAGCTATAGCCAAAGGCTATGGTCTGAATGTTTGTGTCCCCCAGGATTCACGTTGCAGTCCTATTGGCCTATTAGGAGTTGGGGCACAGCCTTCATGGGTAGGATTAGTACCCTAAATGAAAAAGACTCCAGAGAGATCCCTCAGCCTTCCTGCCATGAGAAGTCACAGGGAGACAGTGGAGGAAGGGGCACCTCACCAAACAAGGAATCTGCAGGTGCCTTGATCTTGGACTCTGCAGGCAGCAGGGCTGTAAGAAATAAATTTCTGTTGTTTATAAGCCATCTAGTTTGTGATATTTTGTTACAGCAGCTCAGACAAAGACATCAAGGATCATGGATTCAACTTGGAATTAGATACCGAGATGGAGGCCAGGTTCTGGTAGGCAGTTTGTCCCATCGTGGGACCTGAACCTAGAGCCTAGGTAATGACATGCATGTGGGCCTGCCTTCACCAGCCTTCTGCTTAGACTACAAAGCTCTTCCCTGTAGCACACTTGCCCCTCTCTGCTCATTTTAGAATCTCTTCCTCTTTGTATGGCTTGAATTGGTGCCTCCTTGTCTTATTGATCCAGATTATTATCAAAGCATACAAAAAGGTCTCTTTTTGTTAAACGTGAAACTTTCACTCACTTTACAAGTGGGGGAGAAGGCATTGATTCTAAGTCTACAGTAGTGTGTCTTAGAAGTCATAGGTAGGTGTGCCCCAGCTTATGTACAGCTAGAACCAAGGACCCCACACACCTTCAGGAGCCTCCATCTCTCCCCGCTACTGCTGTCTGCAAAACAGCCTGCAATCTACCCTCTCCCTGCAGGCTGGGCCCCTCTGGTCCCTGCCCAGCCCTCCACCTGCCACTTCTGCCGAGGACCAGCTGCTGCTGGGGCCAGGGAGAGAGGTTCTAAAGATCACAGTACCACTGGTTCTGATCCTGACAGGCAGAGTTTTAGGATGTAGAGAAGGAACAAAAGGATCAGCATGGAGATCCAGGCAATGGGTCTACAGTGCTCTGGCTATAGACACAGCTGCAGGGAAGGCCTTGATCCCCACTCAGTATCCCAGACACCACCAGAGGAAACTCTTTTTCTAATCCCTGTTTTACAGCAGGTACCATGCTAGTCATCTTTCATGTATTTCTTCTCCATACATTTGTTTAAATCCCTATTAAGAATATTATTAACCCCATTTTATACTTGAAAAAATGAAGGCCCCAAAGAGTTACATAACCTGTCCAAGGTGACAACTAGAAGTAGAGTGGCTGGATTTCAGCCTGTGGCTCTGTCTACTCTGCCACACTGTCACTGGCACCCAGGTCAGGGCCACAGTTAGTCTCACTGGTTGTCAAAGTGCCTGCTGTGATCTGGCCAGCCCAGAATCATCACAGATAAATGTGGGAATACCCCTGGTTTCTGGAAAACAAAATTTTCAAACATGGCCCATTGCACCTGTTCAGGCAGATTCAGCTCAACCCAAGTTAAAAATGGTTAATGTTGGCTGACAAACAGTGACCCTTGTTGGGAGAGGCAGCCTCAGGTGAAAGCCAGACAACCTGGTCTCCTGAGATAGATCAGCAGGTAGTGAGTCAGGGGACTATAAACCGCCTGTGGGCCCAGCCAATGCTGCCCCACATACTCAGCTGATGAAACCCCCTGTAAGCCCCTCTCTGTGCCCCTGGCTGGCTTGTGGAGCAACACATTAGCTCTCCTCATGGGGGGGCCCCCACTTGGCAGTCCCTAGGACAGCATTGCGCACGGTCTGTTCTGAGCCTACATGGCTGGGCCTGGGGCCTGGTCTCATGGGCTATATTGAGGGCTGAGTCACCAGCCTGTGCCTGGGTAGGCTGAGTGGCTACTGGGGCCTGACTCAGGCCCCGATTTATCCTGGAGAGCATTAGACTCAAGTTTCAGGAGGGGGGTGACAGGAACCATCATCCATTGGCACTCTGCACCCTGCTCTGCTGGCCATTCACTGCTCGCCTGAGACAGCGCGCTGACCTCTCCTGGAGCAAGACAATGAGTCAAAGAGGGAGAGCACAGGCGGCTCCCCTCAGAGTTCTTTCTCCGTGTGGGCTTCCCTCTGAACCCTCCCACCTCAACAGAGGCCTTAGACTACTGGGGAAGGCCCTGGTAATTCCCACCAGACAGGACTGAGCCATCAGGGTCTGTAAAGAGGCTGTCATCTCCAAGCTACCTGACAAAGCCCCTTTCTTCACCTCTCCAGTAGCTCAGGGAGGGATCTATTCTTTCTGTTTCTTCATCAAAGCTTATATACAACACTGTGGAACTCTGGGCTCTTGGCACCTCAGGTTGGCTGTCAGATGTCTACCTTACACAGACACACACACACACACACACACAGAATTCCCTGTGAGGCCCAGCTAACAGTCCAAGCTGAGCATTTCTCCATGGAAGAGCTCAGCATCTCAGGTAGACATCAGTGATGCTGATGGGTGGTTTGGACCATGGGATGAAGGTGGCTTGGGGAGAATGAACGTTCTGGAGACAAGGAGAGGGGGTTGCCAACAGGAGAGTGGAATTCCTGAGCACCTCGTCACAGGCAGCCGACAGAACACGAGCTGCAGAGCCCAAGCTATTTATACCTCGCCTGTCACTATCAGG